CTAAATAAACATATATAAAATTAGTAAATTGGCACTAAATAAAATGGTTCAAAGACTAATTAAATGCATTCATCAAAGTTTACTGGGTCGCTGCATAATTTACATAACATCATTACCTCATTGCTGCTTGTAAAGCTTCCAAGTATCCACTCATGTATTGAATCCTTTTTGTATCATGTAGAAGTTCTGTAACCGTTGTTTCGGGTTTTTGCAAGTGTCCAAAACCTTCAAATCATCAAAATAAATGTTCATGAGTTTTTTTGAAACGTTTATGAACCATTATCATTGGTAAAATACTTAAATATTTTGGTCTTGTACCGTTTTCCGTTATGAACATCGGTATATTTGGATACCGAACTTTTAGGTAATTCAATATCTTTCGGAATCCTTTTGGATCAATATGCTGCCAATCTACATCGGTCTATTATTGAAACAAAAAAAAACTTTTAAACATTAGGATATATCTACAAATTGAATAACTTAATGTATGAATGTACTTACAAGCTCTCCGATGGAAACATTGCCTTTTCGGTCTAATTGGAGTGCAAATCCTTCGGCTTTAGAAGCTCCATTTCCAGTAGTACAAGTAGAGATAAAACAATCTTGGATGAAGTAACTTGTATAATGATTGATACCAACGAAATCTAGTCTTGAGTTCCTTAAATTCTTCACTTCATTATTTGAAAATCGCGGCAAGGCTGGTCCAAGTATATTCACCATTTCTTTTGGATATTTTCCATATATAACGGGATCTAAAATCCTAATATGTTAGAATACAATAGATAAGAAAATATAGAAATCAATTAATTGTGACAAAATGCCAATCTATCATCTCATACATATATAACATACCAATTCGAGTAAAATGATTGAGCTCTCTCTGCAGCTTCTTTATCCTCAGTTGAATCACTTATAGGTTCAAACCATGATGTTTGTACCACAATGCCAATGCTTCCCTTTTGTTCTTTCTAAAGAAATATTTGTATTTTCATCAATCTTACACACCAACTTTTTTTCAACGATTACATACATGATATAAGAGATTACCTGATACTTAGTTTGGTATATGTTAACCGCTTTCGCGTGTGCGAGGATCATATTATGCGCGGCAAGGAAAGGTTCGGTTTCTGAATTCCCTTGGCTACAGTTTCCATATGGTGATGAGCAGCGAGTCGGTGGAAATATACCCCTTAGATAGCCCAAGATTAATTGTTGATTTGGTTCGTTTATTGTGGTCCAATATTTAACTCGGTCTCCAAAATGCATGAAACATATATCAGCCAAATGGCCAAATTCTTTCCTAAAAAAATATAGTTAGTGGCAGTTTACGATAAATACAGTTCATTTATTACAAATTTAATTAGACACTTACTGCATCTCAGGGCTTAACCAACTTTGAAACCGCTTCTCAAGTTCTTGAGGATAGTCCACATGGTTCAACGTCACAAATGGTTTAATCCCTGAATACAATAATATTTTACAAAAGAATAAAATTTTAGAGCTTCTTTTTGGTCTAACAACAACCGGACAGTGTCAACCACATTTACATAAACTACTAAATTCTTTTTTGTTTAACTTTATAGAGACTATACACTACAAAAGAAGAAATGGATTACACCATTTTTCGATTGACACAACTGAAATTATATCATTTTTATGAGTAATTCTGAAAATAATGATTTTAATATTTTGTATCAATAAAAAAAACCAACACAATTTTTTTCATCACTTATTAGAATTGATGTTAATATGTGTCGCTTATGAAAATGAAGATAAATCTTATATCAATTTGTATATATGATGCTAAATATTTGTTTTGACAGCAATCAATTTCTGAAAATCATTATTATTTTTATAAGTAATTGTAATCATTTATGATTTATCACCCAAAATTTAAGACAGCATTCTAACTTATTATATTATTCAACCGA